ATTTTATATTTCTAGTTTTAGATACAAGAGTGGTACATTTCTACAAATCAGATGATCACACTCAGTAGATTATAAGCTTTGTAATGATACCTTACAAGAGACCTTTTGCATGAAGCATATCCCAGTTACATTATATTCACTTACCATGTTTTTATAAAACCATATAGACTGCACAACGGCACAAACAGTGCTTTGTTTTTTTCACATTTGGTCTATTAAAGGGACACTTTCACCTTAAATTTGGCCTGAAAACAAGGTTTTCTAAAACCTCAGACCAAAAGCAAACACTGTGGAAACTTTTTTTTTGAGTTCCAATAAAAATATGTGCTTTTACACAAACATTCCCAGAAGCCTTGGAAATCCAAACACTGCTAAAGTAAGTCAGAGTGAAACTGAATTCACTGGCCTTGCTGAAAGATGTACAAGACAAAGATTGGCAAGATGGATTTTTAAAAAAAAAATCTTATACTTATAATTAATGCCGCTAAGATATTATGTTAAAGATAGTACATTTACAACATATTTTTAAATTGACAGCAACTCTTTAAAAGCATACTGAATATATGGTTATGCTTCTAATGGTAGTTTTAGTGCCACAAACTGATGAAGTTGGCATGATGTTTTAATTTTTTAAAATAATTATTTAAAGCATTTAGTTTTGAAATTAAACAATATCATTTATCAATACCTGCCTGAATCCTACTGCCAATTTCTGTTCTTCCAGCTGCATCTTTAACAAAAAAGATAAGAATTCTGCCAGGTACCCAGTGCAAAGTGAAGATATAGAAAAATATTTTCCCCACAATCTCCTTCAGTTATACTTATCTTAATTGTTACTTGGAGCAATAGCAGACCGATGGGTTTTATATCCCTCCCCCCGAGAGGATTTTTTAAATCAATGGTGACTTTCAGAGTCACATACACCTTTGCCAGAGGTCATGAACAGTTCCTTCCTAACAGACGTATGATGTGATCCAAACGTGTTTCCCCCAGGTTAGAACGGGGCGGCAGGTAACCCCTGATCTAGAGATGCAGCTAAAAAGAGCATTTAACCTTCTTCGCAGTTTTCTCTCGGATGGATTTCTCCCTGTCAGTCTAAGTTACTAGCCAGAAAAGGCCTCGCGAGCTGGAAAATTCAGGTTCGCTGCAGGGGTCACCACCGAGGACAAACGTGGCTACTTTGTTGCCAGAAAGGAAGATGCAAATTTGTCCTCAAGAGTCCAGCTGTGGCGAGGAGCGGGAAGGGAGCGGAAAGCCAGGCTGGTCTGCCCGACCCACCACGGCGGGACGGCACCGGCCAGGCTCGGAGGCAGAGAGAGACATTCCCAGAAAGCGAGAAGCTGCTGGCAAGGAACCCTCCCGGGGGGCGACTTGCAGCCAAGCCCTCGTCCCGCCCTGACCCAGGGAGCCCCGCCGCCTGCCCGGGGCGCAGCGGCCTCCAAGGTCCAGCCCACACTCAGCAGGAACAGCTGCCACGCGCGACCTGGAAGCGCCCGGGAGGGTAGGCCTCTGAGGAAAGGCTCTGCTGCTGCTGCCACCGCAGAACCCCACCACAGGACATGCAGAGCCCAGCTCCCGCCCCTCACCACGCGCGGCACCTACCTACCTGCCTGCCAGCGGAGCGGGGTTTACACGGGGAGAACGGAGCCGCCAGCTCTGGGATTGCGCAAAGTAACCGAACAGCTGCCCAGCCAGGCTATTAACAGAATTCTGGGGAACTAAGGGATGCCGCCCCCCGGCGGCAGCCAATCGAGTGTGACCTTCGAGGTACAACCTTTCCTTTCCGCCAATCCCCAAAGGGCTTCAGGAGTAACGTCATTGGTGACGTTTCGTCCCTCCCATACACACCCCCAGCCCGCCTCTCTTATGTGTGTGCTCCTGTTTGGGCGGGGGAAATTTCCCAGAATGTCCCGCCCCGGGGCCCTGGCTCTCCAGGGGGACTTGCACAAGGGCACGGGAATGCTCCTACACACGGACAGCCAATGGGCTAGCAGCAGCAGCAGGGAGCCGACTGCACAGCCCGCAATGCTGCTGGGATCCGCCATACATGATAGTCCGCGGGATTGCTGAGAGAGCGGAGCCGCCCTTCTCCGAAATGGCTCAGGGACATCTGGACTACGAGGGAAAACACGGTGGGGATTTGGGAGACAAGAAACACATTAATAAAATGGGTGTCAACATTGTATTTTTAACATAAATTGTACGGTAATGAGGGATGGGCATGGGCAAGGCAGATAAGACATCGAAGGATCAACCTCCCCCTGCCTCTGAAAAGCATCCCAGCCCCTCCCCAGCTGACAAAATCCTTGTGTAACCCCCTCCTCCTCAATGACAAGTGACTCAGGGTGCTCTAATTTCCCCCTTTCCCCACCCACTAAAATAAGGTATGGCAGTACACTATCTTTGCTCTCTACACAACATTAGTAATAGGGGGAAACCACACACAGTTGGATTCCAGATAAGTGTTTATATACAAATACACAGGCCTACCTAAGGTGTAAATTTTTAACAGTGACAGAACCAGGGAAAAGGTAGGTACCCACTGTATGTGGGCAGAGCCGGGCCGGGCCGGGAGCCCAGACCGGCAGTGGGCTGAGCAGCAGCAGGCTGAGCTGCTCAGCCCGTTGCCGGTCTGGGATCCCGGCCGTCCAGCCCCGCACAACCCGCTGCTGGTCTGGGGTTCTGGCTGCCGGCCCCTTGCCAGCCGGGGTCCCGGCCGCCAGTCCCACTCAGCCTGCTGCCACCCTAGGTGAGTGGAACCCCAGGCCAGCAGCGGACTGAGCGGGCCAGCGGTGTAAGATCAGCATTTTAATTTAATTTTAAATGAAGCTTCTTAAACATTTTGAAAACCTTGTTTACTTTACATACGACAATAGTTTAGTTATCTAATATAGACAGAGAGAGACCTAAAAAACGTTAAAATGTATTACTGGCACGCAAAACCTTAAATTAGAGTGAATAAATGAAGACTCGGCACACCACTGCTGAAAGGTTGCCGACCCCTGATTTAGCGGCTCTAGGGAAGACCCGCTAAATCGACCGCAGATCGCTCTCCCATCGACTCCTTTATTCCACTGAATCGAGAAGAGTAGGGGGAGTTGATGGGAGAGCATCTCCCTTCGACATTGCATAGTGTGGACCCTGCAGGAAGTAAATCTAAGATACGTCGATTTGAGTTACACTATTCACATAACTGTACTGTAGACAAGGCCATAGATACATTTCTCCAGGGCGTGAAAAATCCAGAGAGACGTAGCTCTGCCAACCTAACCCCTGGTGTAGACAACCCTAGGTGAACAAAAGAATTCTTCCATCAACTTAACTACCTCCTCTTGGGGAGATGAATTACCTACAGTGATGGGAGAACTACACTGAACCACTGCAGCTTTGCCACTGTAGAATTCTAAGGGTAACCATACCCTATTAAAGACTAAGGCCTGGTCCACGCTACACAGTTAGGTCAACATGAGGCAGCTTATATTGAACTAATTATGTCAGTGTCTACATTACAGTCTTGCTCCCGCCAATGTAAATGCCCTACTACACCGACATAAATAACTCCATCTCAACAAGAAGTATAGGGCTTATGTCGATGTAGTTAGGGTGACACAGTTTCTGTGTAGAAACTGTAAAAAGCAACAGAGGGTCCTGTGGCACCTTTGAGACTAACAGAAGTATTGGGAGCATAAGCTTTCGTGGGTAAGAACCTGATTTCTTCAGATGCAAGAGTAGAAACTGTTACTTACATTGGCTGTTGGTTGTCTTGTCAATTTCACAGCAGGAACTGTGAAATTGACAAGAAAGCTGGGCAGCTGGATTTCAGCTGCCCCCCACTCCCCTGAAGAGCTTGGGCAGCTGGACACACCTCTGCCCTCCCCCCAGCAAGGGCGAGAAGCCTCTGTGGCTGGTCCCTGCTCCCAGCTGGGGTGAGATGCCAGGGTCACTCCCTCCCTCCCCCCAGCATGGAGCCCTGAAATTGACAAGGCTGCCTCTCTCCTTGCAGGGAGTGGGAGAGGAGGCAGAAGCCAGGCCAGCCAGATCCTGCTTTCCTGGAGCAGGAAGCCCTGGGAAGCTTCCCCCTCCCACCGCTCCCAGCGGGGAATGGAAATTGTGTGTGATTGGGGGTTGCCATTTAC